TTCCTTCCTCAAAAAGCCACCTTCCCCCCCCCCCAACCTCCAAACCCCCCCTCTTCACCCCCTCCCCTCCCCCGACCAGAGTGGAGATAAACCTCGTCTGTGACCACCTTAAAATGGCCGCGTGTTCCCCCCCCCCTCCCACCTTCCCACGGGAAATTAGAGAAGTTCTGTGTATCTTAATCAGCTATTCGACAACAAACTTGCCAGTTGCAGGAGAAGAGACGGAGGTTGTAGATGAGGGAGGCAGGGAGAGAGAAGGAAGAGAAGGAGGAGGTAGAAGAGAAGTATAAGCTACGTATGGGAATGGAAGATAAACCAGGATAAGAAGGATATGATGATATAAAAAAAGAGGAACAGGGGGGAAAATAAAATGAACAGAGATATGAAGGCAGAAACTGAGAGAGGGGAGGTGGGTGTTGGGGGAGGAGGGGGTGAGAGTTGGGGGAAAGGGGGAGGGGGATACATACAAGGATACATATATATCCGACATCTTTTTGGCCCAACTCCAAGGGTTGGGGGAAGGGGGGGGGGAGGGGAAGAAACAACGTCCCTTCCGCTTCCTCTTTCACCCGATATACTCTAATTCGCTAAGTTTTGTCGGGAATCCAATTTACCAGTGTCATATTTTGTGCGGCTGGCGGGGGGGGGGGGGGGGGGGGGGCGGGGTATATTGTCCCTCTCTCCCTCTCTCTCTCTCTCCTCTCTCTCTCTCTCTCTCTCTCTCTCTCTCTCTCTCTCTCTCTCTCTCCGTCTCCTCTCTCTCTCTCTCTCTCTCTCTCTGCCTTCACCTGCACCCAGAGCACCATCTTGCCCTTGCACCACCACCACCACCTTTCCCCCTGATTCACCACAATCACTATCATCACCACCTTCCCCAATGAGGTGGGAGGGAGGATAAGGGGGTATTGGGAGAGTGGTGTTGGGGGGGGGAGAGAGGGGGGAAGAAGGGGGGGTTAAGAGGGGGGGGGGGAAGAGGGGGGTGTATGAAGTAAGGTATGGTGGGGGTGTGAGTCGTGTTTACTTTTTGTGCCTGCAGGATCGAGCTATTAGCTCTTGGACCCCAGCCTTTCCAACCGTCGGTTGTCTAATGAACTGACTTCAAACCTATTTTCCTCTATCATACCTACAACGTATATACACCCCCCCCAACACACACACTCACACAACTAGGTGAGTACACACACACATGCATTAGGCAGTGATGTAGTGGAGGCTGACTCCATTCACAGTTTCAAATGTAGATATGATAGAGCCCAGAAGGCTTAGGAATCTGTACACCAGTTGATTGACAGTTGAGAGGCGGGACCAAAGAGCCAGAGCTCAACTCCCGCAAGCACAAATAGATGAGTACAAATAGGTGAGTACACACACACACACACACACACATACATAGAATCCCAGGTTGCAGCCCGTAGCAGCTGTCTAACTCCCAGGTACCTATTTGCTTCTAGGTGAACAGGTGCATCAGGTGAAACAAACTCAACCCATTTGTTTCTGCTTCGATCAAGAATCGAACCAGGGCCCTTAGGACCCCAGAGCTATGCAAGGACCCGTACTCACCTAATTGTACTCGAGTAATTGTGCTTGCTAGGGTTAAGCTTCGGCTCTTTGGTCCCGCCTCTGAACTGTGTACGCAAGTGTGAATGTGGTGGGGGATTTTTTTTGGGTGGACAGGAGTTTGGTAGATGGTTGAGGTTGTAATGTATGGAGTGCTAGGAGCGTGTGGTGGGGGGTGGGGGGGGGGGGTCTTAGCGTGCACGGGACAAGGTTGCAAAAGGTGGTGGGGTGGGAATGGGGTGCGGGTGAATGAGGTGGAGGTGAACGGGATGAGAGGGGTGAATGGGGGTTTATTATGGGTTATGGGACCTAGTTGGTATACGTAATGGAGTTCCAAGGAGGGAAAGTGAAGGTTGAATTGAGCTTGTCTATATGATATTTCTGGATGGCAGCAGAGATGAATGTGTGTGTGTGGGGGGGGGGGGGTGAAGGAAGAGAAGTAGGTGCAGAGGAAGGGAGGGAGAGGAGGAGTAGTAGGAGGAAGGAGGGGAAATGGAACAGAGGGATTGTAGTGAGTTGAGGCAAGTAAAGTTAAAAGGGGGGGATAGGGGGTGAGTGAATAGGGTAGAGGGTGATCCAGAGAATGAAGGGATGGGGGGATGTGGGATGTGGAAGATGAATAGAAGAGAGACAGTTGACATTCACCCTTTTTTTAATCATTTAATCATGAATTTTTCCCCATTTTTTTTGGTCCCTGTATTTCACTGATTTGCATCAACCTGGAGACCAGATATCAAGGCTCTACCACCAACCAGATAGCCAGGAGAAACCGCAGCATCAACCCTCGATCATATCCACATTTCCAGCACAATTCCAGGCTAGGTGGAACCACGTATGGCACCTACCAGCGGCCGCGGAGCGCGAGGGGTCGAACCCCAACTGCGGTGACTGAGGGGAAAGGGAAGGGGGGGGGGTAGGAGGAGGCTGAGGGGGGTGAGAGGGGAGATGGCTGGTGGCGTTACCTGAGCCCTCCGTTGTTACAGTAACACGGCATCTTTAACGCAATTATGTCTATTTATGCGCAAGGCGCTTCGACTGGTGTAGGGGGGGGAGGGGGGGGGTGGTGAAGCCGTCACCAGGTCACGCCCGCACGCCCGTACGCCTGTACGCCACCCCCACCCCCATCGATATGGGCGTGCGGTGTGTGTGTGTATGTGTGGTGTGTGTGTGTGTGTGTTTGTGTGTGGTGTGTGTGTGTGTGTGTGTGTGGTGTGTGTGTGTGTGTGTGTGTGTGTGTGTGTGAATGTGTTGCTATGTGTACGAGCGAGACCGTCTCCTGCAGTTCTGGAGTTAACATGGCGGCTTTAAGCTGTGTGTGCGCGCGCGCGTTTGTGTGTGTGTGATGTGAGTTTGTGTGTGTGTGTGTGTGTGCGATATGTGTGTGTGTGTGTGTTTGTGTGTGTGTGTGTGGTGTGTGTGTGTGTGTGGTGGTGTGTGTGTGTGTGTGTGTGTGGTGTGTGTGTGTGGTGTGTATGTGTTTGTGTGTGGTGTGTGTGTGTGTGTGTGCGCGCGATGTGTGTGTTTGTGTGTGTGCGCGCGATGTGTTTGTGTGTGTGCGTGTGTGTGTGCGTGTGTGTGTGCGTGTGTGTGTGTGTGTGTGTGTGTGTGTGTGTGTGTGTGTGTGCGTACGCATGATTGCTCGTGTGTTTTAGTGTGCATTTTTGTTTGCGCATATTTTTAATTATACTCGTTGTTTCTGCTTGCACGAGTTGAGCTTGAGCTTTTGGGTCCCGCCTCTCGGGCTTCAATTGAGTGGTGTAAAGAATGCAAAGCCTACTCAGCTATGTCATATCCAAATGTTCACAGTTCTCACCCTGTGGTTATCTTGAGATGATTTCGGGGCTTTTAGTGTCCCCGCGGCCCGGTCCTCGACCAGGCCTCCACCCCCAGGAAGCAGCCCGTGACAGCTGACCAACTCCTAGGTACCTATTTTACTGCTAGGTAACAGGGGCATAGGGTGAAAGAAACTCTACCCATTGTTTCTCGCCGGCGCCCGGGATCGAACCCAGGACCACAGGATCACATGTACAGCGTGCTGTCCGCTCGGCCGACCGGTTAGAAGAAGGGAACCCGCACAAGAACTATTTATATCAACCCTAAATCATTTAAATATATGTTTAACCTTCGCTTGAAACAATGCAGCAGTCACTCATCATTAATATTACCATAATTCGTTCTATATATTAATTCGTTTTGTTGGGGGGACAGGTAGCCTGTGGGTATAAGTAGTTTAGATATGTATCGACATCTCTACAAGGTCAAACTATTGACCCTTCCTAGGATTCAACCCTGCAATAGTTACCTAATTCCCAAAAATCTATTTACTGCTAAGTGAACAAAAGCATTAGGTGAAAGGAAACGGGCCCAACCATTTTTGCCCCGCCCGGGACATATATACGGGTCCTCAAATATGAGTTGAGAACGTAGCCACTGTAGCACAGAGACCCTACCTACACTCACATGGGAAAATAGTATTACCCTTGGTCTTTCATAAATATAAATTTCTCCAATTTATATTCATTGTTCTATTTTCTATTTTGTGTCCATATTTATACCCTTATGTATATTCCTTGTGTTATACATTTATTCCATTTATATATTTCAATTATGTCAACTTTCCAGATAAAATAAATGAGGTTTTTAAAATTTTTCAACAGAAAGGTTTCTAATTCCTGAAAATTACTTTTTTATTTGCCTCTGTATGCGTTTTAGTGAATATTTGTATATTCTGCATGCCAAGGACAATTTTCAGATGATATGTACAATTCTGTTGCTAATGATTAATATCAGTTGATTAATAATATCTAATGATTAATATCAACAAAACCCAGTTGCCTAATTTTTGAACCACAGAGACACTAGAAAGATTTTTTCAGTGTCAGAGTAGTTAACAGATGGAATGAATTAGGCAGTGATGTGGTGGAGGCTGACTCGATACACAGTTTCAAATGTAGATTTGATAGAGCCCAGTAGGCTCAAGAATCTGTAAACCAGTTGATTGACAGTTGAGAGGCGGGGACCTAAGAGCCAGAGCTCAACCCCCGGAAGCACAACTAGTTGAATACAACTAGGAGAGTAACACAAACATACACCCACTAATTTATTTTTTGTATGACTATATGCACACCTCGATTATGAAAGCTCTGTAAATTTGTATTTTTATCAACAACAGACGATGATGAAAATGAAAGGGTCCCACCGACTCCCCTCTTCTTCAAGAAGTCAAAATTTCATCTCACTATTTTTTTCCTTTCATTTTGTGTGGGAGCATCGTGGTTGTGACAGGCGGGACAGGAGGGAGGAGAGGAGAAGAAAGAATTGAACCCGTCCAATTTGCTTTTCAGGCAATTCTGTTTTTTTATATTTTTTTTATACAGGAATATATCCCATGAAGGTTGTTAAATATTGGAAAACTATGTTACTCCTCTTTATGTCCTTTGCAGAGACCAACTTGAGAACTGGGACGATCATCGAGTGGTTTTGTCAGCAACTGGTGAGTGTGTGTGTGTGTGTGTGTGTGTGTGTGTGTGTGTGTGTGTGTGTGTCTGTGTGTGTGTGTGTGTGTGTGTGTGTGTGTCTACTCATCTAGTTGTGCTTGCGTGGGTTGAGCTCTGGCTCTTTGATTCCGCCTTCTCAACTGTCAATTAACTCGTATACGGATTCCTGAGCCTACTGGGCTCTATCATATCTCCATTTGAAACTGTGTATGGAGTCAGCCTCCACCACATCACTGCCTAAGGCATTCCACCTGTTAACTACTTTGACACTGAAAAAGTTCTTTCTAACGTCCCAGGTAGGGGTGGCATTCCACACACATTTTCATGTGTGTGTGTGGGTGTGTGTGTGTTTGTGTGTGTGTGTGTGTGTGAGCGTGTGTTCAGGCCTGGTTTGAACCCTTAACCTCGAACAACTGTATAAACGAACCATTCAAGAAAAACAAATTTGGCCTTGAGTATGCATTTATATATTTCTTGCCCCAACCTCCCAATTTTTCTATTTGGTTAGCTGCTATTTGGCATAAAATTCCCTAGATGCAAAACACAAAACCGATTGTTTACAAAATCGAATTACCAAAACAAACAAAAATTGATTAATTAAATTTTGTAAACTTCTCAAATCCCACAGGAATCTCCTGAAGACTTTTTCCCAAGAGACCCAAATGTCTGTGGTTAGTTAAGCACGACATTGAACTTGTAGTTTCGGTCCCTGTACTTAATTGATTTCACTGTTGTCGTGTGGGAGGCAGCGACACTCGCTTGACCAGTGGTGAGAGCAAGTATCAGTCAAGAAGCATGCGATAGTTTGAAGACCACACCACACACCAGAAAACGAGGAGGAGACGACGATGTTTCGGTCCGTCTAGGACCATTATCAAGTCGATTGTGGACTGGACCATTCTCACAATCGACTTGAGAATGGTCCAGGACGGACCGAAACGTTTTTGTCCCTTCACTTTCTAGTGTGTGGTTTGGTCAACAACATTATTTCAGCCACGTTATTGTGACTCCTCGTCAGAAGGTGATTGTGTACGCCTATGTAATCGTACAGCCATTCCTCCAGTTGGGTGTCGAACCCATACACGCGACCAACAGGCCAAGCAGAATAACAGCACATCGGAAAATGTGGTTTTCACTTTACACAGTGAGAATCTTATAACGAATCCACTTCCATCAATGTAAAATTATGATATTTGCTACATATAGCAAATACCATAATATATCTTCAAGTCATATAATATATATATATATATATATATATATATATATATATATATATATATATAATATTATATATATATATATAATATATATAATATATATATATATATACCTCACTACATATCTTTAAAACATCTCTATTGTTCCTACATATTAAAATTCCTTTTAACAGCGCACTGCTAGATAATAAACTTCCGTCATTTTTAACGGAATTAGTTAACAAGTTCTTCATTCCTTTATTCACCAATTTGCGATTTCTTAAGGCAAAAGTCTTATACTAGTTCAGAGCAGAACCCAGCTAACTGGACCAGGGCGGGAGAGACAAATTGTGTTTACGTACCGTTAATTGGCTCCATTGGTGAAATTGCCTTAAAGGAGTCGTTTTAATTGGCTTGGCTAGCGTAGTCATCGCTGCAGTCCGCTCGCCGCTACTTCTGTGTCCGGATAAATGAGAGAAAAGCGTGTCGGATCGTACGTTTATGTCTTATACTTTGTATCGAATATATTGATGTACATACGGTATATCCGAAGTTATTACACACAGAAATCACAATAGCGTGATGCATCAAATGAAGAAATCCCCAAAGGCCGTAATGAGGGTTCGAATCTACGTCCTAGAGGATCTCAGACGCAGACGAGGTTCGAACCCTCGTCACGGCCCTAGTAAATTTATTCATCCAAAGTTATTGATCATCTGTTTTCTTGGGTTATTTTTTTTTTATTTATTTGAATGCCATTTTTTTGGGGTAATTTCTAAATACACAACTTGTACATCTAAATCTTAAAAAGGGCTTCATGTATGTGTGTAATACACAAATGAATATGAAAAGATGAAAGCTCAGTGCCTACTAATGAAAGGGAGAGAAAGGGAGAGAGAGAAAGAGAGAGAGGGGGAGAGGAGGAAGGAGAGAGGGAAGAAGGGGGAGAGGAGGAATAAGAGAGTGTTGGAGAGAGAGAGAGGGAGAGGGAGAGGGGATAGAGAGAGAGAGAGAGAGAAGAGAGAGAGAGAGAGAGAGAGAGAGAGAGAGAGAGAGAGAGAGAGAGGAGAGAGAGGAAGTGAGGGAGAAGAGGGAGGGTAGACGAGACACAGCTGGACACAGGCGGCCAGGACCCCCAGCAGTACACAGGTGTCCAACAGTTAATGGCGCTTCACTACATTTGCGATTACATTATTAAAGTACAAGGGTACACGTAGGTCATGCCTAGTCTGTGAAAGGAATGGGGAGAGAGGGGTGGAGGGAGGAGATAGGAAAGGGGGAATAGAAGGGAGGGGGGGAGATAGGAAGAGGGGGGGGTAGGGAGAGAGGGGGAGATAGGAAGAGGGTAGGGAGAGAGGGGGGGTCGGAAGGGAGGGGGGAGATAGGAAGGGGTAGGAAGAGAGAGGGGGGAAAGAACGTTGGAAGAGAGGGAGGGAAAGAGAGAGAGAGAGAGAGAGAGAGAGAGAGAGAGAGAGAGAGAGAGAGAGAGAGAGAGAGAGAGAGAGAGAGAGAGAGAGCAGATAGAGAGAGAGAGAAGAAAAAAAAAGAGAGAGAGAGGGGCAGACAGAGAGACAGGCAGACAGGCAGACAGACAGACAGACAGACAGACAGACAGACAGACAGACAGACAGACAGGCAGGCAGACAGACAGATAGACAGACAGACAGACAGACAGACAGACAGACAGACAGACAGACAGACAAACAGAGAAACAGAGAAGCGACCCACGAGACAGATATACAGACGGAGATAATCGTGTTAGATACGACCTGCCAATTAGAGTGAGTGGGCAGCATTTACACGAGAGAGTTATAATGGTAGTTAAGACCACCGCGGGACGACCCTTAACCCATGCTAATTGCCTCCCCTCGTTCATCACCAGCACAAACCACAGAGCAGCAGCTGTCCACGGTCCCTGTTGCACACACACCCACGGTGACCCTCAGTACCGAGTTGCAACGTTGCTCTCTGCAACCATTCCTGCTAGAACAAGAGCGTTCTGGAACAAGCAACATTGCTGCTGGAGAACCCCCCCCCCCCTTGATATCTCTCCACTAGAGGCCAGGAAAAGCGCCCCCCAGAGTGACCTGGTTCAATTAAACACCTTCCAAAAGTCCGGATGTTGCATAAACGTAAAGGGCGGTATTGCAAATAATTCCTTAGAGGACATCATGCAATTCTGGTGTCACACAAACCGGACTCCAAGACGCCCTGTTAACTGCTAGAAAGATGCTCTCCCACCTCCGAAAAGGTCACTAAGACGTCAGGGTACCCCCCTAAGATGACACCAGGTCGCCCTGCTATCCCCTAAAATGACACAGGAGGCTCTGCTATCCCCTAAGATAACACAGGAGGCTCTGCTATCCCCTAAGATGACACAGGAGGCTCTGCTATCCCCTAAGATGACACAGGAGGCCCTGCTATCCCCTAAGATGACACAGGAGGCTCTGCTATCCCCTAAGATAACACAGGAGGCCCTGCTATCCCCTAAGATGACACAGGAGGCCCTGCTATCTCCTAAGATGACACAGGATGCCCTGGCCACCTTCCCCCTCCTCCCAAAATGGACACCGGGCCACTAGCCACGCTGATGACCCCGTCATATGGAAGGTAGTTCCCTATTAATTGATCTAATTGGGAGGTTATTAAGTAATTATCTTTAATGATACCTCTGTACCATAGAGGACCTGCATCTTTGTACATTAGGTAATATTACATTTTACCAACAATTACTTTCATATATCTCTTACTGAACGTCGACGCATTCATGACAGGGAAACGCATGTGATTAACGCACACACACAAAAAGTAATTTGCATGCAACAAGTAACTTAAGTAATAATCGTTACAATAGGCACACAGATGAAATAATTAACAGGAAATAAATGTGTATTATGCAAACGGATATTTATAGAAAACTCTGAAAATTATTACTGAAATCACAATTAGTGCACAAGACAGCGGAAGCTTCTTCCATCCAGTAACAAAAGGACGCTAAAGTGCGTCCCCTGTATGTCCCTGGATGCATCATTTGTGTTACAATCAACACAAATAACACATATGTGTTATTATAACACAATTGTTTTTCGGTCACGTTACTCTCTCATTATCCCCACCCTATTGGTCTATCGCGACCACTGAAGTAAAACCCATCTTCCCATACTCTGACAAACGCGAGGCTTTCGACGAAGAGGAAGAAGCAATATGTGAAAAGTACAGAGGGTGAAGATCTTATTAGCCTTCAAGAAGATGGAAGCAATCCGACAGGAAGATTGGGTTTAGGCAACTCTTTCTTGACTGCCAGAGAGCATTTCGGCACTGTTCCCTACAAGAGACTTCTCCTCTCGCTTGAGAAGCAAGCTGGTACATTCGACAGGTCGCTATCTTCGGTGAGAAGCAAAGGGTCACAATAAAAAGGGAAGATATCACAGTTAAAGAGAAGATATCACAGTTAAAGAGAAGATATCACAGTTAAAGAGAAGATATCACAGTTAAAGAGAAGATATCACAGTTAAAGAGAAGATATCACAGTTAAAGAGAAGATATCACGGGGAAACTCGGTCCAATCATGTTTTATAAAATGCGTCAGTGATCTCATTCATATAATAAGTTTCTTCTTGTGCATTTTTGACGACGCTACTAAACTTAGAAATCAACGTAGAGGAAGAATGATGAAATATTAATTAAGGTACTCCAGAGATGGTCTGAAAAATGGCTACTGAACATTAACCTAGATAAATGCAATGTTACGACGAAACAAACGGAAGTGAAGAGACCGCAAAAGTAGTACATAATGA